TTTGTATTTCTGTTGTACCTATATGTTCACTTTATTTTATAGGGTTTTATATTGTTGCATCTATTCACTTGTCTTGTGTCTTATCTTTCCGAGATAAATCTTTATTTATTTTATTGTATTTCATTTTTTTATTATCATGCCTTTTAACTCCTTGTGTCTCTTAACCTGTTAAAATGTTATATTTTGCTAAAGGTTCTAACATCTGATCTGAGGGGAATTTCTTGTTGTTTATTTTTAGCTTGTGATGTGTGCCATTTTGTAAAGCACTTTGAGCTGCACGTGATGTATGAAAAGTGGTATATAAATAAAGCTTTATTATTAGTATTATTCATTTGATTCCTCACCTCCTCTGCAGCCGAGGATCTCCGCCCGCAGGTAGAAGGTGTGTCTGAACTCCACAGGGATGATGCGCAGGTAGCGAGCTCTGACCAGCCGCCCAAGCCAGCGGGTCACGGGGGTCCTGCCCACCATCCGCACCTCAAACACCTACACCACCACAGAGAGGATGTGGATTGTCTTAGATTTAACTTTCTCATATGGGGATGTATCAATAAACTGGAAACACTTTGTCATTAAAGAGTCGAAATGTCCAAATTAGAAAAAAAGACCTTATCAGGACCACCCGGCTGCCCATCCTCAGTATAGTCTGTGAAGAGGCTGCTGTGCAGGGCGAAGGCCAGTCGGTATTTGGTGAGGTAACCCCACATGCGTTCACTGCCCTGGGTCATCACCCCTGACACCCACATGGGCTCCAGGAAGTCCACTTGAAAATATGGCTTGGGATCTGTAGGTAAGGGGCTCCACCCAGGCTCCATAACCTGACTGCACAGAGGATATGGTTTGTTCTTTTTCTGTATGCTTTATATTGTTTTGGTTTTTTAAATGCATGAAGAGATCATTCAATGGTTGAGACAACATTTGTTTTTTGTGTGTTCTTTCTGCTATATTGGGTTTTTTCTTTCCAGTATTTATTATCTATCAGGTCACTCACACATTAGGGACAATGTTAAGTCGCCCAGCATCAGCAGGGTTGTTTTCCCGATAGGAGGATGAGGACAGCTGACCATATCGAATCCTCCCATCCTCCAGGCCAAGGGAAGAGGAGCAGATGCCTGCAAGAATATAATGATTTTTATAACCATTTAACAGAGCCAGTTTGGCAAACCGAACAATGACAAAAATTAAAAATTAAAAATTAAGGATAATGGTAATATATTTTGGTATATATATTTTTTGGTATATATTTTTTAAATGAACTGTTAATGAATGAATGTGAACTGTATTTACACTCACCACGATATCCGGGGACACCATCCTGTAAATACATTAGAACATAAGTTAAATGTATATTGATGTGGCGTATTCTGTCGGCAGGTCTTTCAGTGCCAAGATGGGTGGAAAAACACTAAATGACTACATTTTAGCAGTTGAGTATTATAATAACAATTATTGTTACTTGACTGAGCATGTTAAATGTTAATATTACTTAAACAAGTACGTTTTATAATTTGAAGGCATCCATAGTCATCGCTGTTAAACTGATCTGTGTTGTATGCTGCAAAAGGGTGTTTGTGTATTTGCTTGTATGTCATTTGAATTAACAATGTTTGAATCAAATGTATCATATCTGGTAAACTCTTTGTTAATTATTATCTTAGGTTTAAAAAAATCTTTGGACATAAAAGAAGTAAAAAAAAAAGGCATAAACATTTGAAAATCTGATGATTAATTGAAGTGTTCGTCTACCGTTGGTGTTACTGCAGGATGAGTAACAGCAGCTTTGGATGGAGTCCTGAGAGGAGCTGGGGTGGGTGTGTGTGGTCTGTACATAAGCACACAACCATGACAATTAGAAAATACCTAACATTCTTCTTCATCACTTCACATCATTTACTACATCTATTATTAACACCACTATGAAAATAATGCCTTTTACCTGTCTGACTGGGTGGTGATGTTTTCATAGTAGTGGCAGCCAGTTTCATCCTCTCCTTTGAGACAGTTGGGGATCCCATCACAACGCTGCTTTGCCTCAATGCAGCCCCCTGGTGGTGGGCAGGAGAACTGACCGGCAGGACAGCTGCGTGGACTGATAGGGGTGGGGGATGGCTGCGTACCTACAATTGAGTAATGGTCAGACTAATTCAAAATGGTTTCCTTTTTGAAAATAAATGGAGAAAGGGGATGACATGCAGCAAAGGGCCATGCGTGGGACTCTTCTACACTAAATGAAACTGAGGTGTGTTGTGACGTGCTCACCACAGTATAGCTCATCTGATCCATCCCCACAGTCATTGACTCCATCACAGACCACTCCCAGTGGACCTGCTGGCACACAGCGACCGTTTTTACACTGGAACTCTTTTTTTCTGCAGCCACCTGCTGGGGTGACTAGGGAGGGAGGAGTGGGAGTGGTTGACCAGTGGTTACCTGTTGGCCAGGAGACGAGAGCAATTAGGAATCTCATTTGTAGACAAAAATCATAAGCAAAGCAGCATTAAACTATCTCCTTACTATCTCCGCAGCCCATGATCTCAAGGCGAAGGTAGATGCCGTTCTGGAAGTCGTGTGGCAGCAACCGGACAAACTGAGCCGACACCATCCTGTCCAGCCGGCTCTCTGCCACCCCGCGGTCATCATGGTTACCATGGAAAACCTGGAGGGAGTAAAAAATACATCAATTACAAAATATGTAAAAGCAATGGCAATGGGCCTTAAATGCATGTGATGGAGAGTAGAATGGATTTGGTAGGTTTTGTTGTCTAACCTTGGCTCTGGGACGGGCATTAGTAACAAGCTCTTTGTAAGTGTACCACCGTCTGCTGTCCTGGCTAAACTGGAGGTAGAAGCTGGAGACAAATGTGCCAAATACACCACCACCCTGGGTTAGCACACCTACAGGAGGGGGAGAGATGAAATGTGTTTATATACGGTATATAATCTCATGTTGGAATTGGCCATTTAGTAAACCAGCATTGCTGTGTTTGGTGTTCTACGGCATCCGCATGAATGTTTACCGGTGATGTTGTATGATTTCAGCAGGTCTATCTGTAGGTACGGGCTCTGTGTGGTGCTGGCGTGTCCTTCAGGCCTCCGCTGTGGTAGGTCCTTATACTCCTCTGGTTCTGGACTCCAGCCCTGTAGACAAAGGTTTTTGCAGATTACAAGTAATGTTGCAGCAGGATGGTAGAGATTTGGAAACTTCCCATGTTGTAGACTTGAAAGCGTTAATTTCATCAAGATTTGTGTCAATACAGAGTTGGCTATTTGCAAAGCAAAATACAGTTTGTTGACAATATTATATGTTGGATAAAGCCTTTGGCATCCATTGTTTTTAGTTGAAAGCACTTTAATATTAGTAGCTGCCAAATTTGATATACAGTAGAGCTTTCAGTTTAGTTTCCCAGTTTTATTCAGAGAATGACTTGGAAGTTAACGTAAAAAAACCTCTAATACAGACATTATTTTTGCGAGATTTGGTGTATTATTGGACCATTAAAGAATTAATGGCATTTCATCTTACACATATCAAGTCAATTCACCCAAAACCAAAAGTGTAATGCTGCTAGTGACCTAAAAGGAAAACCGAGGATCACCAAAAACAGCCGAGATTAAAATCAGCTTGGTGTACCTGAAGGTCTGTATGGGGGTCCTGCCAATGGAGGCGGCCTGCCTCAGGCGGGTGCCCAGTCTGCTGTGACGAGGCTCTGAAACTGGAGGCTGGGAGGGTCTGAACACCCAGAGGAGACCAACACTCATCTAAACACAGCGAGAGGAGAGGTAAGATAATATTAGAATGAGTGGAAGTAAATAAAACATTGAATAAAAGTCCTAGAAAAAAATATGAAATGGTCTATCTCTACCATAGATTAGATATATATATATAGATATAAAGGTCTCTACCTGGGAAACTGGATGACCAACTGATCATTTGAAAAGTACACTAACCTCCAGGAGGAAGTGGATATGTTGGAATCAGAGGTGTAGTGCCCTCTGCTGGCTTGGAGGTCACAGTGACTGGACTTATTGTCACAGTGATGGTGTCATTTCCTCCTGCAGAGCGGTTGTAGAACAGAAAGGTTAATGTTAGAGAGCACTCGCTTTAATATTGCAGTAATTGAAACATTGAACTGGAGGTTATATCTAGAGTGTTTTCCTTTTGTCTTTGAAGGATTAAATTAGTAGGATTTCTTACTATTTTTTAATGAACTTATCCTCTTTTCAAGTTTCAACTATATAAACTAATTCAGGTACACTTGAGATATGTCTACCTTCACAAGAATAGGGGAGTAAGGGTTCGCCTCCTTGACCTAAATTTAAAGAAAAAAGGATACCAATATGGAAAAAAAGGATCCGAAATGTCAGAGATGAGGTTGGCATCAACGTCATCTTTGACATTTAGGATCACTTAGTGAGAACATTAGTAACGATTGATTAACTTGTGTTTAATTTGTGAAGGAAAAATGATGTTCATCATTAACCAGGAAGACATTTGTTTAGCATAGATAGCAGAACAACAGTCCCGATTTTACCTTGGCAGTAGCAACACCTGTCTCCCTCTCCAGGCACCAGATCCTGGCCCTGCACAAAAAAAACTACATTTAACATTTGATTGGGTGACACATTTGGTTTAAGTTGCTATGGAACACAACTATGTGGAGGTAGAGGAAGCAGAGCTGTTGATAAGGTAATTTCCATGAGATAAGATTGAAACAAAAGAGCATTTAGCACACATGGTCAAATACTCATGTACCAATGTACTGCATCATATTTCCATTTGCGTAATGGCTACATACTTACAAACTACATATCGCAACCACTATCGTCTCAAAATACACATGAGACACGTACACACACAAAAAAGACACTCTTACCTGTGGACATCCACTGACAGCGTGAGGACAGTAGGGGGAACACTGCACTGTTAGGTTGGGCAGACAGTGACATAACTGGCAGGGGTCTGACCTCCATCTGTCTCCCACAGCGTGAGACTGACCCTGGTACTCACAATCATCACAGGGGTCTGTCTGGCACCTGTGGACACACACACACACACACACACACACACACACACACACACACACACACACACACACACACACACACACACACACACACACACACACACACACACAGTTTTCAAAACCATGACAATAATTACATCTTACCTTTGCTGTTTTGTGATCAAAAGTTGTGTTCAAGGGAATAAAAACGCTGCTCAAGGTTAATCCAATGTCTCTGTGTCACTTTAAAATTATTACTGACAATCCATCATTCCATTTTTCTGAAAAACGCTCAGAAACGGAGATTTCATATGCATGCTTGTGAGAGCTACAACCCAGCTTCCGGTTTTGGGCGTGCTGGCATGCATTCACCAATGGTAATGTTTGGATGGATTTTGGAACTTCCCCTCGATTCTATTGGCTCTAACGGTTCAAAAGTAAAACAAATGTTGTGATGGTGGCAGTAACAAATACAAAATAAAAACATTAACATTCATCCTTATGGAACCATTATAATCTACCTCAAATTGGAAATTTGGCCACCCTAGTTAAAAGGATGTTGGGTTTTCCAATATCTTTAGAGTAAAACCTATAGGGGCCATGGATTCAGTATCTGAGAGTAGAAGTATAGTATTGTAATCAAGTAGTTAAGAATACCATGTGAACAGGGCTACGTACCGGCGGGCTTTCCGGTAAATTCCTCTACACGTTCTCCCGTCTCCATGCTTGATGGGGTTGTTTGGGCTGCGGAACGACCACTGGACACTCTGAACCCCACAGGGCCCCAAACACTCCCCCCACTCAGACCAGGAGGACCAGCCACAGTGCACTGCAGGGTGACAAAACTGACTGTGTACGATCGCTCAAACAAAGGTGCATATGGGTAAAAGTCAACTGTAGATTAGATGTTGATCTTAAGGTAAAACTGCCTGTTTCAGACTCACCTGAACAGTCTTGGTTAGACTGGCATCTTTGGGGCCTTCCCCTCTCACAAACACAGATCTCACAGTCCAATTTTATCTGCTGGCCCGGCCAGTAGCGCAAACCTGCCACTTCACACACACACTCCTCTGGTAGCACGCACTGTTGCTTATGGCTCATCACCTGGCCATCTGGACACCAACAACCTGGAGTTGGAGACAAGTTGAAGTTGTGAGAGGAATGTAAATGACAAGCAGCAGCCATTTATTTTACAGCACAAGATATTCCATGGTCCTTTTCACTGACCAGGGGAGCAGGGTGCTATTGAATCACAGGTGGTCCCACTGCTGATGTGTGCACAGGACACTGGGCAAGGGGCACAGCTGTGTCTCACCAGCCCAGTGGGACAGCTGGTGTTTGCACAGCCATCATCAGGACAAGGTTCTGGGGTGGGACAGGAAATAAATGAGAGAAGTTAATGTTTTTTAATTATTTAGATCAGCGGTTTGTGTGAGGCGCGCCTCCCCGGAGCTTCAGGGGAGGCGCAGCGTGAGAAGAAAAAAAATGAGAAACTGTGAAATCTAGCTAGTTAACTTCAGTTAACTTCAGCTAACTTTATGCGAGCGGCAACATGGATCGATTTTTAGTGAAGTTACCTAAAGTTAGTTAGGAGACAGCGTCTGGCAGAAAACGTCACTTGCACACTTTTGGCTGTCTGTGTAGACCGAGTTCCCCCACCTCGCCAAAAAGGCTGTAAAAGGGCTCATTCTCTTCACCTCCACCTACCTGTGTGTGTGAGTGCGGGTTTTCCGCATTGACTTGATCAAAAGCGGTCAGCTGCAGCCAGAGGATGATCTGCGTTTATTCCTGTCTACATTGCATCCCCACATCATCCGCCTGTGCGCATCAAAGATGCAGACTCATTGTTCCCACTAAAGTAGGGGTGAGTGTAATAAGGAGGCAAAGTTGACGTTCAGTGTGTTGCCGGGAGCATATAAGGATTTATCCACCATGTTGAAAATGTTAAAAATGTTTTTAAAAAATGTTTAAAACATAAAGATAAAAAGGTTTGAAAAAGTTATTGTTTAATGTTTTAACGCTGAGGCTACTCAGCCAATCAAATTGGTGCAGTCAGTGAGTCAGCACGATAGATTCAAACACGAGATGAGACAAGAAGAGAGAAACAGTCGGAGTGATTTCAAATGGCGTGCTCAAAAAAGAGAAAGGTAGACAGCGAGCATTTAATGACATTTTCTCTTCCTGGACCTCTTTGAAATGCAATTAAATACCCCTGCATTATAGCAACAACAACAATAATAATAATAATGTTAATAGCAATAATAATTGGGAGGGGGGGGGGGCGGGGGCCGGCTGTTCTTATGTTCTCTGAGGGGAGGCTCTTTGCAACCGTACTGTTAATCTTTTTTTGATGAGATCTTGAATTTCAAACAACAATATATTTTAAGTAACAATAGATGCGCAACATTTAAATAGTGCAAATTAATAAATACTTGCTTTATTCAATAAAAAACGCAGATTGATTCGGTTCAATTATTTTCATTTCAACCTTTACTTACTGATTTCCATGGGTAGGTTGAATCCAGGGAGCTGGGAACAGTCTCTGCCTCCGTAGCGAGGAGAGACGCAGCCTCTGTGTCGGACCTGCACTCCACCACAGCTGGAACAGTTAGACCAGCTCCCCCACGGCAACCACCGACCATCCACTAAAGATAGCAGAGAGCATCCCTTTTTAGTACAAATACAGTACATATGTGATTTTAACCTGTGGTATTGTTCATTATTAAACATATTCGTCTTAGAGTTAATGTCCAGCTCCTTACCAGGGCAGGTGGAGTTGAAGCATTGCTGCCTCTGGAGGTCCTGCCCCCGACACTGGCGCAGTGGGTCTCCTTCAGGACAGGTTCTCTGCCGGCTCATGGACCCTGTCCCACAGGAGGCGGTGCAGGGGCTCCACGGACCCCAGGAGCTCCAGCTTCTGCAGCCCTGCTCATCAGTGGGGCCTCCAAGTGGAGCCAATGTGGAATCAGGGCAGTCTGTTACACCATTACACACCTATGGAACAATACAAGGTTAGTGAACAGGAATGTTAGTGAAGGGGAAGGAATATTTGTTGCTGTTTTCATTCATGGTATTGTTACAAAAAGCTCATATTTATTATATTTATTCATTAATAAGTTAATATAGTAAAGATGGCGGTGCATGCAAATGCAGCGACCCGTCGCTCTCCTCATGTATACACTGCATGTGTCTGTTGATTTAGTGGGAAGCATTCTAAGTACTTGTTCTTCGACCCACGAAATTCTTTATTATTCTTCCAGGTTATTTTGCTCTTCTGCTCTCACAATCCACAACGCAGAAACTCCGTTCAAACATCAAAACGTTCAGCTCGGTCCGGAATCGATGGCTATTACTTTTCTCATTCATAACTTTCATAATTCCAGAGATATATCCCATAATTCATCAAATGTTTAACACGGAAGTCAATGGAGAAACTCTTCAGAGTTGAACAATCTTCATGTGACTTGAACTGCTAACTGTTCCTTCATACTTTTCACTCAGAAACCTCATTCCAACTTTAAAATGTTACACTTCTTTCTGACTATTATTCGTAGTAACACTAACTTTTGAATCCGAATCATACTTTTAGAGATAATTAAA